CTCGTCCTATGTGTGGCATATTACAAAGGCTACGATGACCCGATAACACCAATTTTCTGGTCACTGATTTGTAAATAAATCAGGCTTTTAATTTAGAAATCCTATAATATCGATTAAATTATTGTTTAGTTTTCTGAACCGCTAGATGCCTAGTGAATGATATTCTCTTTAACTCCATCTTTCCCCCTTAGAAAATATAAATTATTTAGCACGTCAAATACACATGAATAATAAATATATACATAAATAATCATATGTTATAAACGATATAACATTAGGATGAAAAGAAAATAACCGAGAAAATTAATACAGAAGTTGTAAAAACTAAGCGTTTAGATTTTGCCTAATGGATTTGTAACATATTGTTTTATTTTTGCTTGTAATGTATTATAAAATGTGTAATTGTTCAAAAAGCTTAACAGAAGGAATAGCATGTAATTGACGAAAATAATTTAAAGTTAAACATGAATTGTTAGTTGTTTACATTCATAATGTATGTTATTTATAGGATTGAGATTTATTCTTATTGTATAAACGTATGTAATAAATATGAATATATAATAGTTGAATTTTTTTCACCACCTAAACAACTGTTCATTAAAAAAAATGCTAATTAGTTGCGTTCAACAAAACCATTATTCAGCCATATAGATATACAACTTCAATTCATATTCATTTAAGTATGCAGTGTAATTGCATACATTATTTTTATTTGCTGAAGAACATGCTACATATCAAATATTTTTTCCATGCAGTGTTCCTGATTAATCTATCTCCTTCCTCTATTTCACTTATTCAAATCAATATTTTCAAATCTATACTTTATATCATGAGGAAACCTAGAGTCTCTAGAAGGACTCGATACTGTGTAGGTACATGAGGGTAGCTTAGTACAGAGGTATGAGAAAAAAAATAAACTAAAAAAAGACAGAAGGTAACCACAGAGAATCAGCGTTCTGAAGTTGTAAAGGAAAAGGTGAATTCAATCTATAGAAACCAGCTACCAGACTATGCAGAGGCCAGCTGAGGAGAACCAACTTCACCCTCAGAACTTGTGCTTAGCAAAAATGAAGAGGAAGACAGGAATCAGGAAATAACAACTCCAGGTACATTTTTATAGCAGATAGAGATGTCTTGGATGAAGTTTGCTGAAGGAATACCCTGAAATGGTTACTTCTTTAATTTATCTTTAATATTAACACCGATAAGTTCATCCAGAATATCTCTACATAGTAAATTTATTAATCATATGTTAAATGTTCCCATGATCATAACAAAAATAAAAAACAATCTTCTTGAAGTCTGCCAAGCTTCATTGATATTAGTGTAAGGATCGCTACCTTAGCACAGGAACATAGATAAGTGTCACTAATGTTTCTCTGAATGAGAAACAAATTTTGTTAATATTTTGTTTTGAGATTATTTTCAAAGTTTATTGTTTGGAATTATAGAGAACAGTAGTTTCAATATTTGTTCTTTCCATAACCTTATCAGGAACAAAGCAACCAATGGCTCATGTTTTTGAATGGGTCTTTAATTATCATTTAAGCTGAAACTTAGGAGGAATACAAAGTTCAACCATAGCCCTCTGTCGTCAAGCAGTTCTATAGAATTTGTTGTAAGCTTCACACAGATCTACCAAGAAAGTGAAATTATCAGACTTGTATCATCTTACATATGATCCTTTGATTAATCTTTCTATTTAAATCATTGGCTTTAATCAGCAATTACATCCACCTTTCTTTGGCTTCCTATTCATGGAATGTTTCCTTGTGTTTCTGAGCAGAGAAGAACATAGAAGGTGTCCAATTTGCTGCTTATCAAGCTGTCCTCTTTCAGCTAAAATCTTAGTCGCCATCTTGGTTGTATGTGCTCTGCTCACGGAATGAATCTCAATCTTTGTTAAATATATTTAGTTGCATCTCTAGAACAATCTCCCTTCCCATATATCAGATTTGGCGAGATAGGTAGTAAAAAAATAAATAAATAAAATAGTTTTCTATAGCTATATTATTTTGTGAGTTCCAAAACTCTTGGTAACTTGTAATTATTTCAGTTATCTCATCCATAAATAAAATATACTAAACTTTTCTTTTTCTTGAAAACTTCTTTGATTCTAGGTATATGAAAAACTAATTACAGTTCCTCACTCAAAATTTTCTTTCATTAATATGTGCGTGACGTTTTGGGATCTCTTTAATATCCCATACTCAGACTAGAACAAGAAACATTTATAGTATTTATTTGTTTTGTGTATATATTTTAAATAATGCATATATTTCTATAAATTATCACATTAATAACTGGTTGCCAATCTTACCCGTTTATCATCTAATTTATCAAAAGATGTCAATTATTTCGTCATTATAACATATTCCTAAAAATGCAATAATTTTTTATTATTATTATATATATATATATATATATATATATATATATATATATATATATATATATATAGTTTTATAGATTCTATTATAAATTAATATATTAATTCACCTTACATTTATAGTGGACTTTACTCTAGAGAGAATCTAGTCAACACTGATCTAATTTATTTAGGTTTGTTATTTCATATATTTAATCTATTAATTATGTGAGTATAATGACTTCCTATTTTGTCTGAATCTGCTTTATCAATATATTTTGTGGTGAAAATAGATTCAATTATTTTTCTATGTGTACTATATGATCCTTTGAATAATATTTAAGATTCTGTTAAATTAAAATTTTGTCCATTTATGATACTGTGGTGAGCTAGGGCTGTTTTATTCAATTTAGTATTATTTGAATCCTTGAGATGCTTATTTATTGTTTTTGCAATAGTTTGTCTAGATTCCCCTATATATACTGATTCACAATTATTGCAATCAACATTAAAAACATCTTTTTGTTTTAAATTATTTATTTGGTCTTTCATGTTACTAAGATGGTTATAAATTTTATTTTGATTATATAAACCTCTATTCATCTCAAAAATCATTTTCACTAAAAATGTTCTTAATTTTATAAGTTAAAGAGGAAATAAAATTTAATCTATTTCTTTATTTGTTTGCCTGATTTATTATCTTTTTTTTTTTTATTATTATTGTTAGTTGCAGTGTTGTTATCTATTGCTGTAGTATTGTTGGAATTTAAAAAATCTTTTATGGATTTTTGGCTAGATTTTATTTTATTATGGAATATAGGTTGCATGTTACGGTTGGTTACTATATTAATAAAAGGTTTGGTTGTAATTTCTATTTGTTATCAAATTACATATGTACACAATTAACACGCAGGAAGATAAGTTGGTAGAAGGCATGTAATGAGTGTGATAAACTATCATTTTTAATTTCTGAATGATCTAAACACCTCTTTAAATTTATAATTTGTAAAGAATGGGCATTCAGCCTTGGCCACAACTATTAGGCATCAGTCAAAACTGTCTATTTCATTTTTTTTTTTTTTTTAAATCTATAGTTACTGCTGATTCTAATACTTGTGTTGGCAAAAATGGATCCCTTATATGGATTATATTCACCTCGGCCTCCTAGTTAATACTTAAGAAAAAAAAATGATAAATGAAAAAAAGTTCTCAGTACAGTGTTAGCTCTCTTTATGATAACAGTGAATATTTTGGTTTTATTTTAATAGATTTTATAATAAAAATTTATATTTTCTATTTTTCAAAATTAAAAATAGTAAAGTTAAAAGAATTGACTGAGATAGTTTTTATGTCATCGGAAGGGTATACTCAATCTGAGATAGCTAAAACTATGAAGTGCTCTCGTTGTACTGTTTAATATAGCCTTATTTGATCCCGGACGTTAACACATGTTTCTCACTACCTAGAACAGGAAGAAAAAGAATAATGCGACTACATGAGGAAAAGTTTTTGGTGAGAACATCTCTTCAGAATCGCAACAGCTGGCTAAAGAGATGAAAACCTTGTTTTCTGTTGATATTTCTGCCTGGACAGTAAGACTAGTAGAGAAGGGTCTGAAAGGCTGTAGGGCCAGCAAAAAAACCGTGGCTTAGTGAAGTAAATCGAAAGAAGCTTAACTGGGCAAAATTTCACCAAAACTGGAGTGGTCAAGATTATGCAAAGGTTGTTTGGTCTGATGAAAGTAACTTTGAGGTAATTAAACTATGGTATATTGAAATTTAAAATTGCAAAAACTCCCTAAAATAAACTTATTAGACTCAAACACAGTTATTTTTAAAAATCCATTAAAATGTCAAATTTTGCACAATTATAGAAACTCCTGGTGTCATTTTCATACGAAGGAGGGAAGAAGAAGCCTATCTCCCAGATTGTGTTGTCCTTACAGTAAAACATGGTGGGGAAAATATAATGATTTGGGGCTCTAAAGGGGCTCCGAGTGTTGGAGAAATGTTTTTATGAAAAGGGAGGATGAATAGCAATACCTACATATGCATGCTAAATCAAACTTGAATTCTTCATTTGAAAATTTTTTTGTACTTGATGGCAGAGAAAACATTATTTTTCAAAAGAATGATGCGCCACGCAAAAACGTTTCATGCAAATTTAAAGAATGGTTTGAAAATATACTACATAAAGCACTTGACAGGCTTCCTCAGTCCTCAGACATTCAAGACTTGTTAATCCTATACCAAAAAGGATAACTGAAATCATAAAAGCCAAAGGCTTGATGACAATATTAATTTGACTTTTTTCATGTTTAAATATAGATATGTGATGAAAATAGATGTTATTTTTATCCGTTTACTTTGTTTTAATAAAATATGTGGATACCTAATACTTTTGGCCAAGGCTGTACATTACATGCCTGTAGTTAATAACTAATGGTTTAATTTCATGGAAGCTTAAAATATGTCTCTCCTCAACAAGTCTGAGGCTAAATCGTCAAAGATAAATTTCAGACTACCTGACACACCAAATCAAATATCATACTGGAATGCCTCTAAATTAATTCTTTATGAAGTGGATAACTGCAAAAATGAGTTAAGTCTACTCCACAGTTTTATTAAGTTCTGTATTTATTATAAATTGCCCGAAAAATAAATTAAAGAGGTTAAAAGTAGTTAGAATTTTCAACTTAAGAACTTATTCACTGGGATTACAGACAGTAGTCACCATTCACACTTTCAAAGAGGTTTAAATCTACTTAAATATTTATTAGTCAATATTAAAACAGGCAAATATTTATTTACTTAATACAAGGTGCAAGATAATTTATCCTTTTCTATATACTATTTATAATACATCCTCAATTAGTTAACAACCTATACTTATTAATATCTAATAAATTAAAAATTATATTTAAAAAAAAGCATATTATATAAAATAATAACAGTGTGTTTTTCTACCAGGATTAGTTATTAAGTGTTTATTCAATATTTTTAAACTATACAACAATCACTATTCTTTCATCAACAATCATTAAAAAATTTATTTTAAAAATACAATAAACAATTATTTACAATTATATGTCACAGATAATAAAATTAATTTTAAATAAAGCATCAAATCGACAAATAACATTACTAGAGTTCCTCTAAAACTGAAACTTCCAGTTCTTTTGACGACTGTGGAAGACAAGCGAATGATGTTTCTGTTAAACTTGTTTTTCTAACAGCTCTCGGTGTTACAACATTGATATCTCCTGGTTTCTTTAAATCGGCAACTCTACCTAAAATTGATAGATCAAAATATTTTATGTCTTTAAACATTATTAAAACCAATTGATGAACAACTTTTTAGTTTTTATTTATTAATAAAATAAGTTAAATTCTTGAGCATTGACCAAGAATTGTGATAAAAGACAAAAATAGTTTAAAAGTTTGATTTTTAAAATAATGATAGGTTACCATACAACTTAAAGGGCACATAGCTCAGACTGAGAGATCTTAAATCTCGATAAGAGTGCTTGAGGAGCCATTACACTTTACAAAAGGAGAGCTGGCAGACCGAAATTGAGATGGGCAGATAGATGGTGTGGTAGCTGATGCGAGAGACCTGTTGGGAATCAGAAATTGGAAGGTGGCGGCAAAGAACAGAGAAATTTGGCAGAAGTTCATTGAGGAGGCTAGGGCCCACTGAGTGTTGCAGAGCCATTAAGATAGATGGATGGAAACAACTTAATAATCAATTTAGAATAATAATGGTTAAACTATTTTAAGTATTTGGAAAAAATGTTGTTAATTAATTCTTATTCTACCTCCTTCCTTTCAGGCTTACCAATAAAATACGTTTTTTAATATTTTCCTTCATTTGTCACAGGTTGATAATCAACAAGTTACATACATGGTTAATTTAGAGCCAAGAGGCACAATAATATTCTAGGTATCCAATCATTTCTCAATAACTCAAAATTACTTAAGAAATTTAAATAACGTAGCCATTTACTTTTGTCAAGAAGGTAGGTAGTGTGGGAGGTAATTCGATTTTTTTTTTTTTAAATCCGCTTTGTATGTCTTCTTCATAACAAAAAATTAACACATATAAGATTTAAGAGGAGAATCACAAAAAGATAGAGAGTACATGAAATAAATCCTCTAGTTTTATTAAATAAATCTAAACTAGACCTTATCCAATAAAGCTAAGCTATATCCTTTCCTGCTTAGTAATACTTTGACTTTATTCCTGAGCAAGGAGGTTGTATCTTATTTGCAAATAAGAAAGGAAATTTCTTAACTAAGACATTAAACTGTCAGAAATGTTTGTATGAAGGAATCGTTTTGAGGCAATATACTATCTCAGAACCGAGGGCATACTTGGTCAACTTGAAGTAATCCAAAGAACTTAAAGAAAGAAATTAAGGATGGTCGAGTAAATATCAAAAACAAAATTCATGATAGATGCTTAAGGAAATCTTGTAGACTATATCACTAATGGCACTGAAGAGTTCATTAAAGAAATCACAGCAGAAGTGAAAAACTGTCTATGAGAATGCTTAGTCCATGAACGAAAACCATCTTGGCTTCAAAAAATTTAGTGCCCAATGGGTTTGGAAGCAGTTGATTGAAAATAAAAAAACAGACCAGGTTGAAGCAAGAGACTTTAGTCCACCAGTACACTCCTATTTTTTTCTCTCGACCAACCAATGTAGCATTTATTTTTGTCATTACTAGTCTATAAAATCAACTACAAAACAAGGCAAGGTATGCCTATTGCAGATATGATCCTTCTCTATGACGTCAGGCTTCACACTCCAATCTTATGAAACAGATAAACTGGAAGAAACAGTCAAGAAACTCTTCTTACAGTCCAGATTTTCTCGTTGTACTGTTTTTCATTTTCACCCTTTAGTGAAAGAAAAATCATTTGGATGAAAACAACATGAATGAAATAAAGAAGTCATACATATTCTCAAACTTTTTATGAATTAGAAAAATCGAAGCAGCTAAATCAATGGCAAATGTGTGTAGATGCCGAAATTAGGCTTTATATGTAAAATTAATCAATAAATGTTTTTCCTAGCTCCTTATAGATTGCTTTAAATGAATTATTATGTATCCAGACCTACTCTACAGTGATGCACAAGTATTGGCATAGTATAGCAGAGTCTCAATAATCTGAGTTGGATGGGAGATGAATTGCAAACCTTATTTTCAAAACAAACCCACAATTAAAAAAAAAATTGAAAATTTTAAATAAATCTTGCAAAAGTAAATTTTATACATTGCTAATAATATAAATTTAGTGATTTTTAATGTTACTGAATAATACCTTGATGCTTGAAGATTTTAGGGGTCAAAAAAGGCCGATTCTCTGTTTTTTTAAGAACTGATGAAGAACCAGGCTTCTGAAATAATTAAAAAATAAAATAAAATAAAAAATATTAAAAAATTAGTAAATAGTTTTCATTTTAAATTTAATTAAATTACATTCATGTTAATTATATTTCTAATAAAATCATCAGTTAAAATGAAATTTACATCACTTCATTTTACGCAAACATTATTTTAACATTTATATCCATTAAAGTCTAAATTTAAAGATTTCAATACTTACTACGACTAATTTTTCAGCACTTGAATAGAATTTAGGAGGCAGTTTCTGAACAGGAGTTTGTTTAGCAGTTATTGGTACAGGGATCCTCTAAAAAATAAGATATGATAACATGAGATATTTAAACCAGTAAAAAAATGAAAAGTGACTTAACAAAATGTAAAAATGGCTTAATTGAAGGAATCTCAACATAACAGGAGATCATTTTCAATTTTAGATTACTAAAATATGTCTAAATAATAAATTTGGATAAGTTCAGGGAAAGCTTGGTATTATTGCTTAACTATTGTACTGAAATTTTCCAGAGGGGCAAGCTAATTACTCATTAAGCAAACTGTTCCTTAAACACAGTCATTGTAAAGTATATTGTTTCACCAATTGTGTTTGATGAATAGACTTTCTTAATAAAATATATCCTTTATATGAATACTAATATTTCCCTAATCACTTATACTTCAAACGTATGAAGAAGCAAAAGGATAAATATCAATGCGAGATTTTTTTCACAGGTATATTAATTTAATTAAAAGTAAGTAAGGTCAAGAAACAACTTCAACTACAGTACATGTTCTTGGTTATGATTAGCTTTTTTAGTAGCTCAAAAAATATAAATTAAAAGAAACCTTTAAAAAATTTATAATAATAATAATTTTTAAACAACTCTTAACATAAAAGAAAACACTAAAATGGTAAAATGAATAATCAACTTACATTAGGTGACTGGAGGACCGGAAGACTTTTAGCAGTTGGTATTCCTATACCCGTCCTAATATATTCAGATATTGGACTTTTGATACATTCAAACTGTTTTTTTCTAGGAGTCAACAATGTCCTTGAACTTCCAGGTGTTGGCTTTGGAGCAGAAATTGCAGATTTAGGTTGTGCAAACCTTTTCACATCAGATTTGTAGGGTGACATGGGTTGTGCAGACCTTTTCACATCAGATTTATTAGGTGACATAGGCTGGTTACGACTTTTTAGAACGCTTTCTAGCTTGGCTGGACTTAACATGTAATCAGGTTTCTTTGGTTTAGGGATTTTCTTCCGTTTTAGATCATTCAACCATTTTTCATTGATGGCACCAGGAGTAGGATGCAACTTTGCTGGTTTTATAAAAGTAGATTTAATATGATTTGATACAGGAATTTTACTTTTTACACAATCTTGATTACTCTGTATAGATGATGGTTCTTCATTTTCTTTGTTTTTAACAATAAGGGTTTCAGGACAATCCTGGTTCAACGAAGAATGCTGACTGTTTGAAGAGGAAATGCAATTATCCTCTTCACTATTGAAAGAAACAAAAGACTTTTCTTCAGAAGATTCACTAGCACCATTAGCACCTCCGTCACCTACTTTATCAATGAGATCAATTTTTAAAACATGAGAAGAGTTGATGGAATCTTCCTGATTTTCAATACTTAATTCTTGAAGGACATTATGACCATTTAGCCTAGGATCGCTAACATTGGTCTTTCTGAAAGAGCCAATTTTTTTTGAGACACCTAAATCATCTGACACCTCTTTATGTCCTGCACTATCATCATCAATTTCTTCAGGAGGGATGTTTTCGATATTTGATTGGTTTAATGTAGACTTTATCTTAGAATCACTCGGTTCTGACTGATCTTCTGAAATAGTTGAATTAACTAATTTGATATTTTCAAACTTGGTAGATTTACGTTGCATACTGTCAACATCAACTGAGCCAATCTGTTCAGGCTCGGGTGAATTGTGATTTATTTCGCAAACTACTTCGATATTATGATCATTATTAGAATGGTCATCAGAACTACTTACATTAGAATTGGTTGATGAAGGATCAGAAGTTTCACCACTGGGATCACAATATTCCTTGGATGCATTAATCCTACTGATACAAATATCATCTGTCTGATGCAATTCTGTTATTTCTTGAGGAATTTTGTTCAAATCATCAACCATAGAATTAATTTTTTCTTCAGTATCTTTAGCATGAACTAAGTCAACATTTTTAATTAATTGAGGATCCTCTTTTGAATCATCTACTTGGTCTGAAGATTCGGGTTCACATTCTTCCTGCCCTTCATTTTTATCAAGTATTCCCTGATGAGAAATATCATCATTATTGGAGTGACCACCTGATGAATTGCTAACGTCTTCAATTTCTTCATGGTCTTGTTTAATTACCATGCTGGCCTCAAGCAGCGGCAAAGTAGATTCGTTTCCAACAGATTCATGTTCAGAATCTTCTGTATTGTGCTCACTGCCATTTTCTTCAAACAATGCCTTCTGTTTATCACTAGAATTCCTCATGTCTTGCAAAGATGGTACTTCCTGGACTGAGCTACTGCTGTTCATACTACAGATATTTTTACCAGATGATTTGTTTAGTTCTGGGTTTTTTGTAAAATTTTCAACAGGATTGGCACTGAAAATAAAATGTAACATATCACAATGATAATATAACAGAATAAGGCAAATACATTTTCCTTAACTAGCTGTCAAAATTTAGGCAACACAATCTGACATTGAAAAGGGACTGAATGCAGTGAACTTCTTCTAGAACGTTACAAAACAGAGTAGTATACTTAAATAGAACTGATATGTTACATACAGTGTATTAAAGAAAATAATTGGTTTAATCATGAGGAATTAATAAACTTTTACCATAACTTGGAATTATTTGAGGTACTTGTCGGTTAGGAGGCTTGGATGAAACCACCCTTGTTATCTAATGTTACATCACATAACCCCCCTTCTTATCTGGTGAAAACTTTGAGTTATTCTATTGTTTATTTTTGTTCCATTTCTGTTATTTTCGTCAAATTATGGATGTTATTAAATTCTGGGAATTACCGTCTTCAGAAGAAGAGGCTATTGCATATTTTCAAAATGCTGGGATAATTCCAAAACGTGAAATTGTGTCACGAAGGTTATCAAATGAAGATAGACGGGAAGACCAAATGGAGATGCTTTCGTATCACTTGTAACAACAAAGTTTCTATAAGGAAAGGAACATGGTTAGAGGGGTCAAGGATTTTGTTTTTGACGGCTTTAAAATTTATTTATGAATGGTCCTATAATTTAACAACAATAAAGTGGGGTAAAGAGCAGCTGAAACTATGGTAACGTGGAACGAATGTTTAAGAGAGGTTTGTGCCCATAACATGTTTACAGGTCAAGTAAAAAAACTGGAGGGCTTGGCAAAGTCGTTGAAGTAGACGAGTCTTTTTTTCTAAAAGAAAAAAATCATGTAGTGAGAGCTTTAACTGAGCAATGGATGTTTGGCAGAATTTGCCGAGAAACAGATGAGTGTTTTATTGTCAAAATAAACGACATAAAGGCAACAACTTTATTACAAGGTATTAAAAACAATATAGAAGAGAAGCACCATTTATTCTGACTGTTGGAAAGGATACAACACCCGACAACTGAATGAAGCAAACTATATCCATTTCCAGGTGAATCACTGCTATAATTTTGTTGATCCATCAACTGGGGTCCATACTCAACACATAGAACGATTATGGGGCTCAGCTCAGTGGAGAAATAAGAAACATAGAGGAACTGCCAGACACCTCAATTCATGTTTATGTGAATTTTTTTATTATTACATTTATTTTTGTCTATTTCATATATGTGTTGCAGAATTAAAGTGTTTTCTGATTGTTGTGGCAATTATTACATTTCTTTTTGTCTATTTCAATTTCCAACCAAACTGTTTTGTTATTGTTAGATTTGTTTTCGTCTATTTATTATATATGTTGTAAAATAAAAGTATTTTTTATTATTACATTTGTTTTTTGTTCACAATTTCAATAATATGAATATAACACAATAAATATGAATACGAAGATAGGAATTATGAGAAGCCTTATCAGGGTCTTATCAGAATTATCAGTGTTGAGGTTATAAACATTGGCAGATAGCAGCCCATCCTGTCGGGCAAACCGAAAGTACCCTATTTGGATCCTAGAGCAAGGATTTCTTAATTGTGGTATGCCGACCACCAGTAGTAGGTATATTGGTTCAGGTTGTAAACAAAAAAAATATGGATAAAAATATTTCTTAAGAAGCTGAGTCATAACAATTTTATTTTAAATAATTAGTTGATTTGTTAGTTATAAAAACAATCTACAATTAATAAAAATAAATTATGATGCTTACAGTAGTAAACAAGAAAGTCCTCAGTGCTGAGGACTTGGGAAATGAATTGGGTACTTACATGAAAAAAATTGCATAAATCTTAGCTGCAATAGAATTCAATTCGATTTTTTTAAAGATTAAGATTGAACTTTTTAAATAATAAAAAAAGCTTTATATATTCGGAAATGTGTTGGAAACTGGGGTTGTGGCTCATGTCAGATGTAATGTGGCACAAACGGCTGCCAAAAATGGTATACTTATAGTGTCTCTCAGCTCTAATTTAATAACATGCATTAATAAAAGCTAATAAAATACATTTCAAACTAAATATTTATATTCAAAGATGACCGAGTGAGAGAAAAAGAGGGAAAGATTTCTTGGTTTGAAGTTTTTGAAGCTCGAAACACTCTTTTATGATTAAAAGAATAAGATATGCACAGCTAAGAGCTAGACAATGACTTGTCATGATGTAGCAGTATCTCCATTCTCATAATGTAGCTCTGTCCACACCAATGTTTCCTTAATCCTAATTATCTTTGCAAATACGCATCAGAAAAATTTGGACTTCTTGCATTTAAAAAAAAAAAACCTGTACCACTACAACCCATGAAGGGTCTTGGGTTCAGTACTATTTAGGAAAAGCACTGTTTCTAGGTCAACCGTTGTGCAAGGAGATGATTTGACAGAGATCACGCTCAACCGCCAGGTTTTCCCCTTAATCAATTATTTAATTGAGGGTACCCACTTTATAGAGGCTGGGTGTGCCCCAGGAGGGGCTCCCGACCCAGGGTCGCCCCACGACCAATGAAACAGATAAATAAATTTTCTGTCATGAGCAGAAAATCGGGGTTCGAACCTGGGACCTTTGCATTGGAAGCTTGCACTGAGCTACCCCACTCCCCCACACTTCTTGCATTTATATTGTTATAACCCAATCTTCAATGACAAAGGAAATGCATTCGTGCAAGTACCCAATTGAGCTCCATCTAGCCAACATAGATGCTTTAATTGGATATTTGATTAATCTTTACCTAAATTACATTTCCTAAACTTAGTTGTTAAATAAAAATACTACATAAATGAACCAAAACCATTCAATATATAGATATCTGTACCCTGGAGGTATAGAACACTGTGTCTATTTTTGCATTTGTTCAGGGAAGATAATGTTCCACAATTTAGAGCTATGAACATTTGTTTTTTTTCAACTCAATCTGTAATCCGGAGGTAAAGGTCACAAGTCATATTTTTGTATTTGTTCAGGGAGCCAATTTTCCAACTTTGAGCAATTAAAATTTGTTTCTCAGTTACTAAATTATTTAAAGAAAAAATTGATATGGTTCCCTTTAATCCCGGGGCACAGATACAAACATAGGCTTAATTACAGAAGAGGAAGTATCCCCTCTACTCAGGATGTGACAAATGCTCAGAGGCAAATTTAAAGCTAATTGCAGTTAAATTATAGAAGTTTACCATATATGCTGTAGGGTGAGACAGAGGCCTCAATATCCTATTTATTTATTTTTTTTAATCACCTTAGGACTTGTCAAAGCAAGTCCTATGTTGCATATTTTATACCATAAATAATGATGGATCTTTCCACAGTAAAATTCTCATTATTGTAAATAAACTATTCCTTTTTCAAAATCTTCTGGATGATTGCTTCAAGAGAAGTGAAACAGAAGTCTAAGATAGGTGGATTATAAAAAGCCACAAAGGTAATATTTGTGTCTTGTGACTTTGCAGGAGGTTTGATAGTCCCGGGAAAACTTATTTACTGAAGGTAAACATCCTATTTAGAACATAAGGTCCAACAAATATAGTTTATTTTCATCTAAAATAAATTTTATTCTGGTCAGATAAAATCAGTTTTATTTACTTCCATTATAATGGACACTCTTAAAGAATTTCTGTGACCGCATTTCATGAATGTTAAATCAAATTTACACTCATATGTATATGTATACTGTTATAATGAGGTAGTTATAAGTGAAATTTACGTAACTAACAGTATTGTCGACGCTAGACAAAATTTCCAACACATAATAAATTAAATACCAATGAATACTGTGTTACTGAAAACTATAACGTCAAAACATAAATTAAAACCTTTCTCCTGTTTTTTTATTAGCCATCCTACTTCGCCATATAATTTCGAGTTCTCTAGCAGTAACTGGGCCCCAGAACACTTCTTCATCACTATCACACCCAGGCATTACAGCAGACATAGCTAAAATGCTAATGGCAAAATTAATAATTATTAGTGGTTAAATTCAAAATAATCACATACATCATATATTACTTGATTTTGTATTGCTTTTTAAATCTTGGTTAAGGAATGATAAGGTGCTAGGTAAAAAAACAAAAAAAAAATAGTTATTAGAATTACTTACTGGAATAAATAATATTCTTTAGTAGAATAGATAAGGATAAAGTCCAAAATTCCGCCTAGAAGTAAACAAACAAATTCAAATAACTCCCTCTAACTGTTTTACCGGTCATTAGTACTGTTGCCAACACAATTAGCAAAAAATTGACAGTTTTTTTTGTTAAAATATTAAAATCTAATATTATGGATAATATATGGACTAAACTATATGGAATTTTATATAAATGGAAGTAATACACATTACAAATGACAAAAATGATTTTACTTATCAAATAGTAAATCGTTCATTTAAGTGTTGGTTCAAAGATGTTTTCATAAGAGTAAAATACGATAAATTATTTAAGAATCTTACTGATTCTAAAATGATTAAAATTTTATATTCGGTAAATATTCTATGGCACATATTATATTCCTTGATGAATCTATATCTATATTCGTGATGGTACAATATTTGAATTAAAATGTGGGTCTTAAAACAAGAACCATTTAAGTCCCCACTTTCCAAGAAATGTTTAAAACATTTTTGTATGTGAAAATTATATATTCCTACGATTAGCATTAGATCCAGGCACAAATTTCGAAGTTCTTTTCTTTGGTGTAAACGTTACACAAGGTAACTACTCCGAGATGGAAGCTTCCGTCAATTGAGGATCAGGAATCAGTCCTAGGTCCTCGGTATCAAACTGATATTTGATGGACTATGCGCGATATTGATAATTTATATTAGCATAGAGTTGGGCACTGTGAGTAACAAATTCTCCACCTATAGCTGAACACCATCATAAGAACAAACCTTTTGAAGTTATTTTCCCGTCACACAGTTCCGATAAGTAGCCAAATGTTTCTTCCCAGATTACGGGGTCGCGATAGCCCTTTCTGACTTAATCCAGCCAGACTGCGTTGTTTTGGCATAAAAGTTGCTCCAAATGCTAGATGCGGCGATCTAGAAACTGTAGAGCGTTGTGAATGATTGGTTTAAAAGTCTAATCAAGAGCTCATTTAACTCGGGGTTTGTTATGCAAGCAAAGGAGGATTAAGAATATCGTTGCTGCCATCTGCAATCTTTGTTTTCGATTTACTTAATCACTCAATTAATGACCCACTACTGCTCAGTTATGAGTGTGTATTTTGATTTACCCTGGATTACAACACAAAAATAATTACAAAAGACTTCATAGGACTTCACTTGTACTCCAGGAAAACAATTATTTTACCTTCTACCAAAAATTGTTATTGAAACTTAATTACATATATTTTAAGTATTACATACAAAAGAACAAAAATAGCAAGGAAAATAATCATTTAAATCCATTTATGACATACTTTATTTTGATATCCTAAAAGGTTGACTTTTTCGTATTTGCCCACTTGACTTGGCTTTTTCTGTTTTACATAATTGGCAGAAAGCACATCTTCCAGCTGACGATATCGATAAAAGATGTTAATTTATTGATGAGTCAATTTCGAGGGTTTGAGTTATGAGGAGCCGGAGCGGAGAAAGCGAAGTTGAACTACCTGAGGGCGCCAACAGGTGCTGCCTGATGAGCTAATGCGAGGCTGTTCATGAAATATCGCCTGGTTTTTACTTTTAGCTTGTTATTTATTGTTTGACCAATTCAACAATATTAGAGACCTCACACCAGCAATGTTTAATAGATTATAAAAAAAGTCTAAGTGGCATATGGAGGAATGATATAGTTGGTCTCCACTTCTGCTTTGGTTATATTAGAGAGAAACACTTTATTTTCATAAAAATATAAAATATAAAAGATTGCTGCCCAATTATATTGGTTTGCTATATAAACAGCATACTCTTCAATCCTTAGGACAATAGATGAACTTATATATAAATATACAGAAGTATTAGTTTATATTAGTAAAATAGATTTTTTTTTTTCCCTTCCTTTCATTGTTCATGTTTTTTTTTCAACATTTAGCATCCCCTTTCTCTCAATTCTCTCTCTTGATCTCTATTGTTTTCAATTTTACATTAAACAAATAAATAAATACATAAATTAAAACTCTCAGGCTAGCCATGCAAGTGGTGGTGAATGATTCCCAGGGAGTCGAGGACTATATTTTCAGCCAACCTCACTACGTCCTTAATGTCGACACCTAGTTCCTCGAGGAAGCTCCTTGTTCTGTTTTGAATTGTTCCGCGAGACCCAAATCAGATGCCTCTCACGGTCAAATATCACTTACAAAAACTTCCTCTCCTTAAATCTCCTGGATACGACCTCCTTACTTCTCAATTCCTTCGACAACTCCCTCCTAAAGCTGTTATATTACTGACTTATTTATACAATACCATCCTTAGAACCACCCACTTTCCTCTTTTGTGGAAACATTCCACTATTATCCTGTTTGCGAAACCAGGCAAATCTCCCAACACCTCTACGTCCTACAGATCAATTAGCCTACTTCCAATCCTCTTTAAAATCTTTGAAAAGATCCTCCTGAAACGAATCCTACCTTTTATAGAATCCCAATATCTTCCTTCCCATCAGTTCGAATTTCGTTCACAACATTCCACAGTCCAACAAGGACTCCGAGTGGTCGATCATATTTCCGCAGCACTGGAAAGCAAGCAATATTGCTCGGGTGCTTTTCTGGACATAGCTCAAGCTTTTGACCGGGTATGGCACGCCGGGCTTCTTTCCAAGCTGAAAACCTATCTACCCCAGCCCTTGTACCTAATCCTCCGCTCTTACCTCTCTGATTGTACCTTTCGGGTTCGCTGTGGTTCAGAATTTTCCAACTCCTACCCAGTTGAAGCCGGTGTTCCTCAAGGTAGCGTCTTGGGCCCCGTCCTTTATATCCTTTTTACCGCCGATATCCCTGTCCATCCCAATACCTTCCTGGCAACATTTGCTAATGACACCGGCATTCTATCATCCAACTCAGATCCAGAAATAGCATCTTTAAATCTTCAAAGGCACCTCTCCATGATTGAGCACTGGTGCATCAAAGTAAACGAATCCAAATGCAAACACATTACCTTCACACTCCGCCGCAGGTCCTGTCCATCAGTCCACTTTAATTCCATCCAGCTTCCTTTTTCAGACACAATCCGGTATCTTGGCTTTATCTTAGACCGAAGACTAACGTGGAACCCACATACTAGACTTAAAAGACAAGAACTTAACCGACGATACGGCCAATTACACAGACTACTGACCAGAAAATTTCAACTTTCAATTGACAAAAAATTACTGATCTACAAGACAATCCTGAAACCCATTTCGACCAACGGACTTGAACTTTGGGGGACAGCAAAGTTCTCTAACATCAAACGCATCCAATCCTTTCAATCCAAAGTCCTCCGAACAATAGTCGATGCTCCGTTCTATGAAACCAACAAAACCCTACATCATGACCTTAATATCCCATTTGTCCTTGACCTTATACCTGAAAAATTTTCAAAATTCCATCAGAACCTTATCAATCATCCAAATCCCCTAGCCCAATCCTCATCTAGTTCCACTCATCCCTACAACCCTCCTCGAAGGTTGAAGCGGCAGTGGCCCAGAGATCTTTTATAGTATTTATTTTGGAGTTCTGGCAATGGCCAGATTCTCCACTCAAGACATGAGTGTACGTGGCTAAAGCGCTCTCGCTCAAACTCCACCGGCTTTAGCACCGGTGAGGCGGTTGAGAGAGTAGCGCAGGGATTTGGGTTCCCCGCCTGATTGTATATATTGTATATAGGTATGATTGTATTTTATGTTTTTAATTTACTTATATTTAGGTTATTTTATTGTATATAGTTTTTATATATTATTATTTAGTTATTTTTTTACTTTGTTAATTTTATTTTATTTTTTTGTATATGCGGTGTGAATGTGTTCATTTATCAATATAATTATTGTCCCTGTGACAGAATATTATATGTCTAAATAAATTTAAAAAAAAAAAATGTCGACACCTAGTTCCTCGAGGAAGCTCCTTGTTCTTTTTGGAATTGTTCCGCGAAACCCAAATCAGAGGCCTCTCACGGTGAACTCTCTCTCTCCGAAGGTCTCACGGAATTTCTCATTTAGGAAAGGGATACATTTATCGTAAGTGTTCTTCTTTTCCCTTTCCACTTCACCCGCCTGATCGATGTCATTGCTCTCAAAGCGGACAGTTGGATCCAAGATCAGCGCTGTCCTTCCTGTATTCGGAAATGCGACGATATCCGCGTATCTCGTAGAGCCTTCATTATCGATGCAATATACCTCGTCAAAGCAGGTGAATTTCCTTTCCCTAAGGAGCCTCATCAACTCGAACTTGACCCGGTGGTGACGACGTGTTATGAGGAGGGAGTTGTTGGGGCATTTTCCCAGCACATGGACTGGTGTTTCAGACTATAATTCCTGGAAACACAACTAGTAGGTATAAGAATAAGAAAAAATTCCAATATTTCTTCCTCAATTTATGCTCTAAACCTTGGTAACTTCACATATTGTAGGTCTCATTTTAATCAGTTTAACAGCGATAACAACCATTTACAATCTGTGAACTTGTAATAAAAGGAAATATATAAAAAGAATGATTGAAGAGTATTGATAATAATAAACCAATTATTACTACACTTAAATTGTACAATTATTTATTTATTTCTTGCATAAAACAGCAAGTTTACAATAATTGGCGACAATAGTTATTCAATAAGAGCAATTAGTTATTGAAGATCTGCGTGGGAGGATTTGGTACATAGATTATAAATAGGAGCAGTACAAAATTATAAATAGTCTCTTTATAATAAAAAAGTTGCTAATTTTTAATTAAAATAGGTAGTTGTTTTTCATCGGCAGCTAATCGTTGAAATACTGTTTTTCTAGTTAAGAGTATAACTACATTGAAATTTATTAAATAACTTGAAATAGCCCACTCTATAATGTTTATTTTCCTGATTTAAAAATTCTACGCAGAACTTAAGACGACCAAATGTACTCACGACTACGTGAAAATTTGAGTCATTATGTTTGCGTATACAAAAAGCATTGATATCGAGTGCTGAATATTGAATTGAGTCATGTGGTTGTGACGTCATCAGCTACTTTGAAGGCAACCATTAAATACCTGTTGGCTGTAGTTTATTTCATATCTGTGTTACCTAACTGATTAGTAGTTTTTTGTTTGTGGGATTAATAAATTTTTTGTAAGGAACATGCATTATCTTTATGTTAATCTAATATGATAATATTACTTTGTTTCTCATAAGGTCTTTTTTACCTGTACATATTTTTGACAGGAGTCGGACAGAATATTTATTTTTTAACCGTTTTTGCTTGTCCTGTCATTCAGTGAATACTTACCAAAATTGATTTACATTACTTTATAAACTTAGGGTGTGTCTCAAGTCTTTGACAATTACTTAATGATCCATCATTATTCTGTAGATTATAATCATGGACAACAATGCTGGAGGATCAAGATATTCAAATTCGAAAATTCAAGAGACCCAGGCTAAAGTTGATGAGGTAATTAAATGTTTTATTTTCACTTCAAACGCCCTTATTTTAAGATAATAATGAGTTGTTTGTACTGTTATCAGCTTGCAATTTGTGATTTGATCATGGGTAAGTTTCTTAATATTTCTTGCATTTTAAATACTTCTAATGACCTGTCTTATCTTTGAAGCAGTGATAATTTTTATAAATACTTTTTGGCTTATGACATTAAGTATAAGAATCTTGTTAACCCAGGTTACTTATGCACCAGTAGATTCTTATTAAAATCTGAATATATTGAAAATGACAGTTTAATATCAAAAGTACTGTTATTTTATTTGCTTTGTTGAGTATCAGAGTTTTGGTAATAGTATTAAAGTAAAAACAAAAGCAAATAAAAATCTTAAAAACTGACTACATCCTGATAATCTATCACTTACGATATGTAACAGTCGACTCACTTTCTTCAGTAATTGTTTTTTTTAATTTTAATTCTTTTAAAGTTTATTTTATTTTATTTTTTCAATACCGTTACTAATAGATTTTAATGCTGATTTTATGGGCATAGGCAGTTAAAAGTTTTTGTTTATTTATATTTATATGCTGAAGTGAATACATTTCTACAACATAGACACTATTTTAATGAATTATAATTATATTAGTTCTATTACTATATTTAAAAATAACTTATTAATTATCCTTAAATAGCACTTCTCCATTTATTTAGTTAAATTAATGAATTTATTTTTAAGCATTATATAAATTATACGAGCAATTGTTTGTTCTTATTTAATGGCTTAAAACTTCAATGGTCATCAACGCTATATAAGATCAGTTATTGATAGATTTGTCATCATAATTAGTAACAGTTAAGAACTTTTCTTAAAGGTTTATTAGTGGATTACTTCTGTATTAATTTTATAAGAATTAAAAAAAAAATGTTTATTAAATTATTTATCATTTTGACTTATAAATTGAAATTTGTTAGTATATTTATTTCTATGGTAACTCATTCACTGATTCATCCTCTTCAGAAAGAATAATTAAATTACTGTTATTTACTTGCTTCACCAAATTTAATCAATTAATTGATATTCTAATTTTTAATTGTTTCGTTACTATGTTCATTTAATGATTTATGTGCTCCCATCATGCCTAATACATCTTTTTATGTAAAGAACGTGTATTAATTTAATTTTTTTAAAAATATTATTGATTTTAATTTGCAACTGGCTGATAACATGCTGTTATGAATTTGATATTGGTTTGGTGTTATTATATCCTGATTTAACATTCAAAGTAACCATTCATAAAATTAAATCATAAGTATCTTGATGAATTTTTTCTTTGTTAAATCAGGACATTGTGAACTAAGTGCAAATTTTTTTTAAAGAATACTAGTATCAATGATTTGTCTTATTTTGATACATTTGCTGCGTTTTACATTGATAAATTTGGTTGAAATTTACAAAAAATACTTGAAAGTTTAGCCCCAACAAAAATGTACTTAGTGTCGGTTTTGCAATAAACCAATGATAAATATTTTATTTTTAACTGAATCAGTGATATTTCTTTATAAAATAACATTGATTTTCTTAAGCTCTTGATGATATGTTGCTAGAATTTTTATAATTTAAAATTTATTTTGTACACATCAATATTATTTTTCATCATAAAATAGATCTTGATATAAGAGGCACTCATCCAGCTTTATAACACAATCCATTAGTTTTTTATTTATAAGTTTTATAGAAACAGTTTATTAATTAGTTGATCTTACAGGTTGTTGGTATTATGAGACTAAATGTGGAGAAAGTAATAGAAAGAGACCAAAAGCTTTCAGAACTAGATGATAGAGCTGGTATGTATCATTGGTAATTAAGGCCCATATTTGTATGTAAATTTATATACATATATATATTTTAAACATGAGTCATATCTTTATTACAAGAACTTTCTAAATTAGTGACATCAGACAGAATTTCAGACCAGTAAAAAAATTGCTTTACCTTGTCTTTGATTTTATTGAGGCCAAGATAAGTCTCATTATTTATTTTTTCAAAATTTGTTTCCTGCAGTGGTGGGACAACCAGTCTTTCATCGTAATAAATTAGTCCATTTTCTACTATTTCTTATTTTTAAATAATGGCTTAGGTCACCAGTTCATTTTAAAGAATTGGGCGGGCCATCCAGTGTTATATATAAAATATCATAAATTGATTTAATGTTGAATCTGAATCAGTTTCAGCTTTTAAATTTGCAAGCTGAGGTTTAGATTAATGAAATAATACACCTACTGTATTATAACATTATGCAGGTTTGAACTTTGTTCTTTTTACAGTGATAAATTTGCCTAATAATCGGAAGAAATTAATCAAATGAGTCTTTGATTGCAGTTTATTGAATGTTTCATAGAAAACTTGGTCTCTCTCTTCAGCAATATATTATTCTCCCAAGGAATTAGGTAAGTCACAAAATTTAATAAAGTAAGATAGGTTCAATGGTACTTAAGTACCATTGAACCTATTCGAGAAGGAGGATGAATTTTTCCTTGAAACGTTCAATAAATTGCAATCAAAGACTCATTTGATTAATTTAATCTGACCATTAGGCTAATGTATCACTGTAAAAATAAATTTATTTTAATGTTCCATTATTATAAACAAAAAGTTAGTTTTTCATATTACAATTTTTATAACTCTTTCTCACTGAATTATACATAATATTTTATCTCCAAACCAAACATTTCTTTTTTTAAAAGAGGCCTTGAAGTTTAAAAATTTCCAAAAGGTCCTTTACAATTATAAGGTTCACTTCAAAAATAAATATTTGGAAACAGGATCTCCTCTAAAAATTTATTACTCTCATTTATTAATTAAATTTTTAGTTATATTCAGCGAAAACAGATACTGCTTGCCTTTTTTTGGTTTGATCAAAATTAATAATTGCAATTATTACATTTTCAGATGCGCTACAAATGGGAGCCTCACAATTTGAACAACAAGCCCACAGACTAAAAAGGAACATGTGGTTAAAAAATATGAAGGTAATGTTCCTTGTTTGGATGTTCACAATTCTATCACTTATTAAAAATACAGTCATTTCATTATTTGTGAGAGTATTGCTTTAAAAAAAAATTTTATTTGTATTTGCCTTTACACCAGAGGGTCATTAGCAGTGATTCTTAATTTTTATATTTTGTTTCAATCAGATATTGGAAGAGAAGGACAATCAGTGGATTGTCTGGCAAGTTTAGTAACAAAATAATAATGGCATATCAGGCTTGTGGAAGAAAAAAAAAAAATACCCAACGGTATCTCTTCCATACCATTATTTCAGACTCAAAAAAGAGTACCAATTATCTAAATCAATATTTTATTTGAGTTCATTGAAAGTTTTCTTATGTTTTTTGTAATTACTACTTAAAAATAATCGTATAGTGCTGTACGTTATTTCTTTTTAAGGAAAAGTTTTGATTGCTATTTTTTTATCTTAATAAAATTAGATTATTTTATCATCCGTTCAGAAGAAAAAGTTAAAGATAAACTGATAGTCATTTTCTTTTCTGAACATAGATGATTTATGATAACTATCAATATAGATTTTGGTGTATTACACCATTTATGTCTTCACTAAAAGCCAAGTTGATGTTTCAAAAGTATTACTTCCAACTTTAATTTCATTTTAAGATCAAGTCCAAATTAATTTTTTTAATTTAATGTTTGGTTTTTAGTTTCTATTGATGTCAAATACCTTAACACTGGTTGGAAACCACTGTGTTTTTGTTTTTGAATGGGAGATGTTTTTTTTGTTATAATGATTTAATCAAAATAAACAAAACAAATCTATCAGGGGTTTGAATAAGTTTCTGCCATTTGTTATGTAGAGAATTTTGTTTACATATGTCCATCTGCAACACTGAAGAGCTAATTCTCTGTACTCGGGTTATCAGTTTATTTTAAATCTTCAAAGTGTATACTTTTTTCAGTACTTCTTAAATAGCCAGTCGGGACGAAACATCCTTTGTTATCTTATGTTACATCACATATCCTCCCTTCTTATTTCCTGTAAGCTTGGTTATTCCATTGTTTATTTTTTTTTCCTCATGTGAGATGTGAGTTATTCCATCGTTTATTTTTGTTCTATAAATGTTATTTTTGTCAAATTATATTACATTTTAAATAGCATTAAACTATTTTGCCTACCAAAATAAATTAAGTGAAAATAAAATTAGGGAGTTAGCGGCCCCATCGCCCGGTCATTGTACTGCAAATAGCCACTGGCCCTTCAGGTTGGGGGAACAGTAGACTGACACCCATACAGTACACAATCTACAGCACACTACAGAGGAAGGTCATCTACAGTATAAACCCTAGGGCTGCCTCCCCTAGGTAGCCGCTCCGGAGGGGGTGCAGGTCTGCAGGCACTAAGGTTGCAGCCCCACCAGGAGACTAGGGCACATCATAGTAGAGTCAACAGCCCCACTGCCTGAAAACTCAACCATCAAGAAAACCCTAGCAAAAGCCTCTGAAATTCATAAAGATTCACGGAAAAGATCCGGTAAATGTCATAGGTTCAATATTCGATATTGGAATACTCTTTCCTTTTATAGATCCGGAGCACTCAATTTGCTCTTGAGCGAAATAGATAAATACAAATTGGACATAGCCGCCATCCAAGAGATCCGGTGGATAGGCTGTGGCACGCTAGAGAAAAGAAACCACACGGTATTCTACAGTTGCAATGATCGGTTACACACCTTTGGGACAAGATTCATTGTAAGGAAATCATTCAGAAGATTAGTTATTGGATTCAAGCCAGTAAGTCCAAGGATATCTGTGCTAAGGGTACGCAAGAGGTTTTATAACTTTTCAATCCTTAGTGTACATGCCCCAACTGAAGAGACTAATGATGAAGACAAGGATGATTTCTATGACCTGCTCGACAATATGCTGGACTTCCTACCTCACCACGATATGAAAATCATTACCAGAGGCTTTAATGCTAAAGTCGGTCGGGAGGGTATCTAGGTCCCAACCATCGGTAAATACAGTTTGCATGAAGAGAGCAATAACAACGGCCGGTGACTAGTCAACTTTTCTGCTTCCAGAAGCCTTAAAATTGTATGTACAATGTTCCCACACAAAAACATCCACAAAGGTACATGGACATCGCCTGATGAGCTCACAGTCAACCAAATTGACCACATCCTCATAAGCAACAGGCACTTTAGTAGCATCACTGATATCAGAGTGTTTAGAGGCGCTAACGTTGATTCTGACCATTTCCTCAGTATCGCCCACATTGCTTCAAGAATTGCTGTTAAACCACCCAGGGTCCGGGTTAAAGCAAAAAAGCTAGTTTGATGAAGACTGTCAAGTAGCTACAGAAGTTAAAAATGCAGCATACCAGCTGATGATCAACAGGCGCTCACGTGGTACAGTTGAAGACTATAGGAAGAAAAGAGGCTGCATCGGGTAAAGAAGAAAGAAAGAATTATCCAGGAGTTGAAGGACCTGGAGGAATCAATTACCATTAGAGATAGCAGCAAGTTCTATCATAAAGTCAATAGCACTAGGAGACCATTCAAACAAATAGCTTTAATGTGCATGGATGACCAGGGAGCTCTCCTATCCAAGGAACAAATATGCCTAGCAGAATGGAGAAGATATTTCAAGGAGCTTTTGAATGGTCAAAGCATAGATAGCCAAGGGACAGAGCTGCCCTTCGGTCAGTATGGAACGGATGAGCTGGAACCACTGGATGAAGATGAGGTCAGTGAGGCCCTCAACAAACTAAAAAATAATAAGGCCCCAGGAATTGATTGACTTCCTGCAGAACTATTTAAGCATGGAGTTAATGAACTTTTCAAGCTCCTTCACAACTTATTAGTGAGCATGGACTCAGGAAATAATGCCTACAGACTGGAAGAAGACAGTCATATGCCCGATCCATTAGAAGGAAAACCTATTGAAATGTTCCAACTATCACGGTATTGCTCTGCTCCCGTGCGCATATAAAATTTTATCAAACATCCTGTTCCACAGACTATTGCCGTTTGTGGAGTGAGAGATTGGACGGTACCAGTGGCGGGTTCAGATGAGGAAGGTCAACGATCGACCAGATATTCTGTCTGAGGACTATTCTGGAATGGAGACAGGAGTATAAGCTCAAAACTCACCACCTCTTCATCAATTTTAAATCAGCCTACGTCACGATCGATCATGAAAAGCTGTACGATGCATTACATCAGTTCAACATCCTCTCCAAGCTTATCAGGTTGACCAAGTTAACAATGGACGAGGTGGTGTGTGTTGTTAAAATAAAGAGCAACTTATCGGAGGAATTTTCTACGAGAAGTGGTGTAAGACAGGGTGATGCCTCGGCATGTCTCCTGTTTCTCTTAGCCCTAGAAAAAGCAGTTCGTGAGTTCCAAATACAAACATCTAACACGATCTTCAATAGGACTGTTCAGCTCCTCGCTTTTGCCGACAATATAAACATTATTGGAAGATCTCGGCAAGCGGTTGCACAATCATTTCTGGACTTGGAGGCTGCAGCGAGGAAACATGGCCTGACTGTCAACAAGGAAAAAACGAAAAACTTGGTAACCCAGGAACCCCAGGACATGACACTAGGGTGAGTTTTAGACCCTTCAGGTTTGAACAGGTATCAGAATTCACATACCTGGGCTCGCAAATCACTGTTGATAAACGATGTAAAGGTAGAAGTGGTACGAGAGCATCTCCATTTCGTCTTCACGTCGAACTTCATTTCATGACCTTCATCACAATATTTCATTTTTGCAATTATCCCGGCGTCTAGAAAATATTTTATAGCTATAGCCTCTTCTTCTGAAGACGGCAATTCCCACAATGTAATATAATTTGACACATCCATAATTTGACGAAAATCACACTTATGGAACAAAAATAAACAATGGAATAACTCACAGCTCACACGAAGAACAAAAAATAAACAATGGAATAACGTACCTTACAAGAGATAAGAAGGGAAAGGATGTTTCATCCCAACCGGCTATTTAAGAAGTACCGAAAACTGCAGCTGAAGGGCATAGAATTTTTATGGAAATTCATGGCAATCATGGCCTATCTGAAAGAACATGCAGATAATGGTTTCAACACATTAAAACAAAAATCCATGTCAGACGCAAGAAGAACTTGGGAAATAATTGGGAGTCAATCAAGCTACACTTGCTAAATGTTTGAAAGCTTTAGGAATGATTCAAGTTTAAAGAAATTAGGTACCATATCAATTGAAGGGAAACTCTTAAACGTAGTTTATCCATCTCAGAATAACTGCTGCAATGAAGGTTTTCTGCATCATATTGTAACTGGTGATGAAAAGTGGATACACTACTACAACCCTCAGTGAAAAAAAACTGTCGTGAGGACAGCTCGCGCACGTCTCAACATCAACAGAAAAGCCGATCATACATGGTTCCAAGCTCATGCTTTGCATTTGGTGGGATCAGCTTGGTGTAGTTTATTACAAGCTGCTTCAGCACAATGAAAACATCACAGGAGATCACTATCGACTACAATTGATGCGTTCGAGCCAAGCTCTGAAGCAAAAGCGATCACAATATAAGCAGAGACATGATAAGGTACTTTTACTGCATGATAATGCTCAGCCTTATGTTGCCAACCTGGTTAAAACTTATTTAGAAATGTTCACCCGCCATATTCACCAGACATTGCTCCTTCCAACTACCATTTGTTCTCTTTGATCGTTGACTCACAGCTTGGCTGAGCAGACCTTTCATTGGATTGCCTCAAAACATATTTCTTTTTATCTATATGTTACCTGAAAGATAGGAGAAAGTGGTGGCTAGCAATGGACATTACTTCGAATGACCTGCACCTGACCATTTTTTATTAAAAAATTTCCATGTTTATCAAAATTCTTTTGTATATATTCTTTATTCTCTCTCTCTCTCTCTCTCTTCTCTTTCTCTCTCTCTCTCTCTCTCTCTCTCTCTCTCTCTCTCTCTCTCTCTCTCTCTCTCTCTCTCTCTCTCTCTCTCTCTCTCTCTCTCTCTCTCTCTCTCTTCAATTTACTTAATATTGTTTTGCATAACTTATTTATTTGTTTCTCTTTTACAGATGTACCTTATTATGGGAGGAATCGGTGCTGTTTTGCTAATTATAATAATAGGTAAGTAATTGTTAATGAGTATTACAAAATTCTCTTTGTCTGTCCTTTTGTTTGACAGTATCTATGTTGCTTTTCTTTCAGTTCCTTCTTTTTTTTTTTTTTTTTTTCCTGTCTGTATTAATAGAATGTCATTCCTGCATACTTTATTTCAGTGGCTTAACATCTTATTCATGGACTGTTTTCAAGTTGTATCGGTTGGACTACCTTTGAAATGAAACATTTTTTTTTGTATTTGTAAGTAAGGAAAATTGTTTTTAAAATTTACCGGCTTTGCTTAAATAAATTTAAAAAATAATAGAAACGACCAAAACTGGCACTTATTATCATAACCTTTATTTTTACTTTTCCATATTTTATGAATAATATATAATTTAATCCTGTTTATTTTTTACTACACGAATCTTTTAAATTTAATTTTCACTTCTGAGCTTTGTGTACTTTCTAAATTAAGTATTTATGAAATGATATTGTGTTAAATTGAATTTAGTATATTGCCTTTATTGTTATACTTTAATTAATGACTTGGTGTGAGAGGTAATAGTTTTTTTATATGATTGTCAGTTGTATTTATAAACATCATTTTATGGTCCGTAATTCTGCTATGTAGCTGGTCAGCTAAAACACAAACAAATGAGATTTTAAGTTATCAGTTTTTGGATTTAGTTATGTTTTACAAATGTCACATGTAGTGAGATATTAAAATTAAATATCATTTAATTGCAACACATCTTGCTATACAAAGTTTATTCATTCGTTAAGCATACATGCTTACAATTTGATATCATAGTTTGAAGTCAATTTAAAAAATATAAGTACTGCCATTATTTTTTCTATGGTTTAACTGAAATATTGAAATAGGTATTTGGCAATAATTACTTCCAATTAGTAACAATTGTTACTAATTGGAAGTAATTATTGCCAAATACCCATGAATATTATAAAACTTCTCAGAAAAAAGAAAAAAAGATGAAATATTGAATTTCAAATTAATGCATCAAACACTGTCATAATTTGGGCATCAATATCAAAAAGCTGTACATCCGCTGTGCATTTCTTGAAACTATCACAGGTAATGTAATACAACATTCCCTTTGAATAAAAAACATATAACAGGCAATAATGTGCTTTTATATTTTGGTCAGTTAAAAAAAATAATTACATATTCTGTGTCATTGACTAAAAAAATAATAAAATGCTTTCATTCATCATAATGCTATCATCTCGATTTTAGTAACTGGACTAAGTTTGGCGTTCATTAGCTTCCTAATTCTGTTGAATCCCATTAACAAATTCTATCAAATAAAAAAATTAATACATAAACAAATTAAAAATAAACAAAATTTAATCAGTCTAAAACTCTGTTATTGTCAAAGGTGAAGATTTCTGAAACTGATATTTTAAGAAAGATAGCAGTTGTATTTAAAACGATTTAATTGTTCTTTTTAAATCATTAACCGACCTTAGTAATATCTATTTTGGGGTGATATTATATACCCTTTGAAAAAGGTTATATAATATCAAACCATCGATGTAAATTGAAAAAGCCAACTATACATGTTGATTAGTGGTTTGATTTTGACAAGTTGTTGAAATTATATTAAGAATAATTTAAAAAATGTAAACAGTTTATAATAAAGAGGATTTAATTAAGAGAATCCTAAAGTCTGCATAAACTACCACTGCAAGTCTTATATATTGTACATTATAATATGAAGATAGAGATTTCAGCCTTGGTGCTGTAAAATATCTATGGACTTGCAAGGATGAAAGATGTGTACTTATGAAGAAGCTATAAAATTAGACAACGGATGGCAAGAAGCAATTAAGAAGGAAATTGATGCCCTAAAGGAGCATAAATGTGGGCACCAGCTGTGCTACCACCAGGAGTGAAGGCAATAAAGTGGATCTTTAGAACAAAGAATGATGGTATTAAAAAAGCATGTTTGGTCGCCAAGGGTTACCAAGAAGAATCACCTGAAAACGTTTATGCCCATGTAGGAAGACTTCCAACTATCAGATTATTTTTATCTTTTGCTGTATCAAAAAATTGCGACGTCAGGTAACTAAATGTTCCCTCTCCCTTTTTGAATGGCTGTCTGGATTTGGATGTATATATCAACATACCAAAAGGAATGACAAATGAACCAGGCAAAATATTTAAACTCCACAAGAGCTTTTATAGACTTCATTCAGCACCAAGGAAGTGGAACGAAACTTTTCATCGTTTTATGGAAACTCGAGACTTTAGAAGGTCATACAGTGACTTCTGTTTGTATATCGGTAAAAATGTTTTTCTCGTTCTTATGGTAGATGATATGCTAATAACAGGACAAACCATTGAGGTAAAGAATTTAGTAAAATTATTCCAAAAGGAATTTATTTTGGAATTCTTTTCTCGGAAAAGATTTGGGAATTATTAGAGAATTTTTGGGGACAAACATAAAAAAATTATAGTAAGCCAAAATAATTTTATTCAATAGCTTTTAATGAAATTTAGTATGTTGAAATGCAAAGGTGCGGCTATACCTATGGTTAACGACTTTCAGATTGATCCTAATGACCCAATCAATGAAAATATCCCTTTTAGACAACTTATAGGATCATGTATATATCTTACAGTGGTCACTAGGCCAGATGCGACATCCTATCTTAGTCAATTTTTAAATAAACTAATCAAGTGTGGAAAGCAGGAAAACGAATCTTGAGATATCTTAAGAAGACAGAAAATATGACTTTAAAATTTGATAATCCCACGGACTTGATGTTTACTTGTTACTTGGATGCGGATTGGGCAGGAGACAAACTCGACCAGAAGAGTGTAAATGGATGTGTTATATTCCAGGAAAATAATCCAATCCTTTAGGCTTCAAGAAAGCAACCGACTGTCACATATTCAACAGCTGAGGCAGAATACATCTCATATTCAGTTGCAGCAAGAGAACGGATATACCTCGAAAATGTGTTAACTGATTTACCTAACGACTTCGTAGGTACCCCTAAATTACTAACAGACAATCAAAGTGCAATTAATATGGCAGAATGTTTTGAAAATAGTAAGAAATCTAGAAATATTGATATAAAGTTTCATTACATAAAATATCTTGTTGATAAGAAAATAATAATGGACTATATCGATACTCAGAACAATATTAGTGACATATTTACCAAGGCCTTAAGCCAAAGCAAAATTGATTTCTTTAAAATGAAACTAAACATATATTGATTTCTGAATTTATTGTTACATTCATGTAATACTATGTAAACGTATAATGTTGAAAAGTTTTCAGTATTTAATTTTTTTTTTAAAACATGTTTAACTTAATGCGGGCGGGGTAGTAAAATTCGATTTGTGAGTATGTTGGCGCGCTGCACTGTGGAGTGTATGGATAGAGTTAGCCTCTAAGCACCATCTTGTCTAGTGTGAGTGTTGAATAAATAAGTCATAATACAAAGTGTTCCTCCTCACCTAAACCTTTTTGTTTAATAGTTATCTGTAGTTAGTTTTTGAAAAATTCAGATTGCTTGTGTTTTCTTGTATCCAACAAATTTAGATTATCAATATATACATAATTTTAAAGTGGGTTATTAGTTATTGTTTTCATCTTAAGTTATCTCTTATAATATATTTAATTACAGATTTTAATCAAGACACTCCTTCTCTTTAACAAATTTAGGTGCTTTGTTGCATGTGCCTTGTAACATAATAAAGAAATATTTATTTATTTAACTACATTTTCTTTCCTGACTTTAACTTAACATTGGTAGCCTGCATGAAATAATAAATTAAGTAATTATTATTAATACCTTACTGTTCACAAATAATAGTTATTACCTAACATGGGCTAAATGAAGGTTATGGATGGATAAATGTTAGTTTTAATCTATGAAGTAAATAATACAACCTGTCAGAAATGTATTGAAAATTAATAACCTAATTGTAAATGTACAAATATAAGTATATGTATATATGTTTGTAATTGTAATTATCTTTTAAAATTTATGTATTCAACTGGTATTCCATTAACCTTATAACTGGCACAGGCCATATATGTCCCAACTACATAAAAGTGGTTATTGTATCCAAAATTATTCAGTTAGATTGCTGTATTTATCAGAATAATATATTTAAAGGTTAAGATTGGTTTGTTAGCATGCTCTTACCAAAATTCCTTTCAGAAAGGACAAAAGTGAGGAATATATTACATAGTTGAAAACTCTTTTATGCTTCTCTTATTTATTAGAAATTTTTACCCCAAAATATTGAAAGTTTTTGTTAATATTAATATTAGTGCAATTTTTATTTCATTTTTTTACTCGCTTAGATAATGTTAATTTATAAACAAATTTGCTTTAAAAAAGTTTTTTTTTTTAATACCTTTTATCAGCCATACACACTTATAGTCTGTGGGCCAGACCCCCTTACCGTGCATCCCCCTCTCCCCCACATCTCTATAAATTGCATATCGTTGTGTTCCTTGTAACTATTTATTTAAAAAAAACCAATGTTCCCACAAAAAAAAGTGAACGCACTGCCCCAAAATGACGTCCAAAGGTGGCGGATTGACGACTTTAGTTAGTTTTTTGGTCACTGAGAATCAGCATTTGGGTTAATTTCCTCATAGTTGGTCTTTTATTAAAGCTGAATAGCTATAGAATAATAAAACATGAAGAAATATTAAAAAATAATTGGCTTAGACTATGAAAAATACCAGCAAAGTCAATTTTTTTAACAAAAAAATTTTCAAGTTACAAATCAAGCGTCGTTTGTAATTAAACGGCCTACAATAACGCAAAACGTGCTGAAATAAACCATCTGGAGAATATATTTCTCTTTCTAAAACGCTGAATATTTTTTACAAATGTTTAAGCAGTTCCTTAGAAAATGCACTTATGCGGCAGAAAAGCGGTACTGGCGTGGGTGCCTACAGGCCTCTACCACACCAATCAGTGCTCATAAATGGCTTAGTTATAGTGATATAATAACATTTTTGGTACATTATATTGGTTTCATTAACGAACAAATATTAATGCAATAATTTAATTGTAAAAAAAAAAAATTAAAATTAAAAAAAAGTATTATTTTTTTTAAATTTAACCTCGTTTATTCTATACGTAAGTCGTTTAAGAAGACCTCAATTGTAAAAATGATATAATTATAAAATTATTAATACCTGTAATTAATACAGGTATTAATTATTAATAAAACTTAATTAAAAAATAATTTGCTAAATATCTTGATTTTTTTTTATTTAACGTTTGCAATTTAACACTGTGTTTTGTATATTTACTGATTCTTAGAAGTAATTAATATTTTTATATACTTCCCAGGAAATGAGTCATATTAATTCCTTTTTTATAAACTAAAAAATAATATATACCTAATCTGAACTATATACAATGAATAGCTACTGGGTTGTTTAGTAAAACTCATACATCACTAATTAAAAAATTAATTTTTATTTCCTTTATTTTGTGCGGAAGTTGGACTATATCATAAATAAATAGGAAATTTTAATATTGAATGAATTATTCTCTCTGCACAAAGAAAGATAGAAAGGGTGACGCTATAAGTTCTCCTATAAACCAGAACTGATTGTTTGTTTTTGGTCTAAAAATGAGGAAAAACGCGAAATTGAAACAGACAATTGGAAAAATACATTAAGCGAACGAGAAAGGAAGTGCCAAAACTTCGGAATAGATAAAAAGGACCAGTATCCATTCTATAGCTAAATGAATGTATGGCAGATAGATGAACAGAATATTTCAAGATGCTGCTAAAACGGGATCAATTGCAGTTTGGATGATATTAAGTGGACGATGTAGGTTTATGGTGAAAACCACTTTATTTTCGATTGCTGAAGGTGCACATCAGGACTAAATTAACTTTGAAGCTGGATATAGAGGTATATCGAGAAAGTTATGGCTCATAGCGTTCCTTCTGTTTAGTGCATTTGCAAAAGACTTTTTAAGGAATCTTATATTAGTTATAGCTCATTATTGTTCAGAAATTGTTCGGAATTTTTACTATATCATAAAAAAATAGGAAATTTTAATATTGAATGTATTATTTTCTCTGCACAAAGAAAGATGGAAAGGGTGAAACCGAACTGCTTTGATAGTTTTGCGCGTACATAGGCAACAAGCATATTAGAAAATAATATGAAAGGACTGTGGTTTTTACCTTTACAAGAAAGGAGGTACTAGGAAATGTAATACCCATCAAGATCCATTCCTGTTTAGTGTACCAAACAAATTATACTCAAGAATCGTAGAAGCTGGAATAAGAAATATTTTCGATTGCCAGAGTGATATGGATTGAGAAACTCAAGTTGCACATTGGAAGAGAAGATGAAAATTGGGACTGTCTTCACTTTAAGGCAGGTTATAGAGAAGTCCATATAAAAAGAAAAATAGCTTTCTATCTGCTTAGTGCCTCACACTTTGGATTATGCTAATATCTAATCCTCTTTCAGAAAAGCTCGTTTTCCTTTTAGATTCCTTAAAAATCTTTTGCAAATGCACTAAACGGAAGGAGAGCTATGAGCTATAACTTTCTCGATATACCTCTCTATATCCTGCTTCAAAGTGAAGATAGTTGAAATATTCTGTTCATCTGTCTACTATACATTCATTTAGCTATATAATGGATACTGGTCCTTTTTATCTATTCCGAGGTTTTGGCACTTCCTTTCTCGTTCGCTTAATGTATTATACGCGTTTTTCCTCATTTTGAGATCAAATCCAAACAATCAGTTTTGGTTTATAGAAGAACTTATAGGGTCACCCTTTCTATCTTTCTTTGTGGAATAAGTGACCACTACTGCCTCATGATATATTTATTTTATAATTTTATTATATAATATTTGAGGATTGTCCAATAAAAGAACTGAGGTCTAAAAAAACTAAAAAACCTGCTGATATAGAGAGTTATCCTTTCATTCTGGATTTTTTCTATTTTATATTCATTGATACATTTTATTTAGCTTTGTGTAGAATTAAATGTGTGTGCATTTAAAAGCAAAAGTTGAAATATGAAGAGTGTTCTTTGTTCTTTCATTTCATTCTGTAAGAATATTTGGTCAATTTCAAGTTCACTATTTTATCCATGCCGTTTTATTTTCATGGTTCACTATTTCTGTAATACTGTTTAAATGAATTATGTTCTGCATGACATCATTGAAAAATTGACATTTAATTAATTTCTTGAGTGAGTTTCAACTTGCTTTTTTATAAATTTTAAGTAGATAGAAATTATTTAAATCAATTAAAGGAAAGGCGAGCAAACCCATTATAAATGCTAAGGATTATTAGGACAAATAATTACTGAAAATGAAGAAATACTGGAGAGATGGGCATAATTTTGCATTCTCTGACGGCTCGGAAGAGAGAGTGGAAGACAGGCAAAACACGCAAACAGAAGTATATGATGACGTGATCTGGGAAGAGGATGTCAAGTGGGCTATAGGGAAAATGAAGATTGGTAAAGCAGCAGGCAAAGATTGGATTGTTTCAGAACTTATAAAATTTGGAGGTCCACAATTACATGAAGCTTTACAGGACCTGTTTCAGAATTTATTTTCTTCTAAATCTATGCCTGAGGAATGGGGGTGCAACATCATCATACTGATCCACAAGAAAGGAAGCTGTAGTGAATGCCAAAACTAAAGGCCTATATGTCTATCCCCAGTAGTCTATAAACTTTACTCCTCCATACTGGAAAGAAAACTCAGACTGAATGTTGAAGCCAAATCAGAAGAGGAGCAAGCAGATTTTAAACCCCACCGTCAAACACAGGACCACATCTTCTCACTCAGGACAGTTATTAAGAAGTCATGGGATAGAGGAAAGAGTTTGTACTTGGCGTTCCTGGACATAAAGGCAGTATTCAATTCCATCCCCAGAGAAGAAATATGGACAGCTTTAGCCACTAAAAATGTTCCCACAGAATTAATTAGAGCCATAAAATCTACCTTCTACTTACTCGTGGAAGATGGAACATGAGGACCATCCTTGCTCAAGTGATGGTTTTCGAAGATTATATTGTCCTTATTGCCAATTCCAAAGAAAATCTACAGCAGGCAATTAATGGGGAGGCTGAGCTAGAAAGGAAGGGCATGATATTAAATGCCGGAAAGCAAGGTGATCCACATTGGTTCTGAAGAGAAGAAAGTTTTGGTTCGCTGCGGAAGAGAAACCTTGGAGACAGCGCAGGAGTACACTTATCTCGGTGCAGTGTTATGCAGAAATGGGAAAATGGACCAAGAACTCTCAAACAGAATTAAGAAAGCTAACAGCATATACTACCAGCTATGCAGCACAGTGATGGGGGAAAGGGAATTGGAAAAAGTGCAAAATTACATATCTTTAAGTCCATCTACTTACCTACTCTTATTTATGGAAGTGAGAGCTAGGTCCCGCTGTACAGACACTGGAGCAGGGCTACTGCGGCAGAAATGAAAGGATATCGGGGAGAGGGGACCTGGGAGTCCTATCTTTAAGGAAAACAATCGAAAAGAGGCAGTTGGGATGGTTTGGTCATCAATGCAGATTGGATTAGGACTGTGATCCAAAGAAGTTTTTGAAGCCAGGCCTACCGAACGCTGTCCTCGAGGAAGACCTAGGTTGCTATGGATGGACCACATCTCCAGGATTGGTGAAAAGAAGAAGCCTATGAATTCAATGAAAGGGCTGGCTCAGGATCGGGGGGCTTGGCAGTCCTGGATCACGGCACCTCCACGCTGAGAGCCACTAAGGAGGATGATAAAGAAAGAAAGTTAACCCTTCTTATTTTTTTGTTTCTTCCTCATTTACAGTTTAACATTTTGTCCATGTTAATACACTAATTTTTTGTTTTGAATCTACAAAAGTCTACAGTAAGTATTTAAATAGGAGAAAAAAACTGTATCATTACAGCCCTTAAAGGGCCTTAGGTTCAGTATTATTTAGAGAAAGTACTATTTCTTGGTCAATCATTGTGCAAGGAGACAATTTAATTGAAATCTTGCTCAACCGCTAAGTTTTTCCCTTTAATTAATTATTTAATTAAGGATAGCCACTTTATAGAAGCTGGGTGTGCCCCAAGAGGGTCTCCTGATTCCATAGTTGCCCCACGACAGATGAAACATGAAAGAATTTTTCTGTCTTGAGCCGGGAATCGAACATGGAACTTTGAGCATTGTAAGCTCAGCGCCCTACCACTAAGCTACCCCATTCCCATTTAAATAGGGAGGAAGCATTAATTAATAATGACTATTAAAAAATAGACAAGGAATCCTAGGCATATTCTGAAAAATATAAAAATTGACAAATCAATCCAAATAATAAAACTAACATATATCTTAATAAATTTAAAAAAAGAAGAGAGAGTCATAAAAACGAACCAAAACAATGAAAAGTTGCCTTAGAATAAGTGAAAAAGAAACAAACAAAAAATGGGTAAATCATAGAAATTACAATTTAAAAAATATGACTATAAATTAAATATACATAACGTTAGAAAAATAATTTTGAATTTATTCATTTAAACTTACTAATATAATATTTGTAATATATGGGTAGGTATCAAGTATAAATTTTATTAAGAAATCATAATACCAACTTATTGAAATAACCTACATCAGAAGCAGAACTAGTTTTCTTTCTTCTTTTTTGGGAAGTTCAGCAATACTCCAAGTGGTCCCTGCTTTTTCTGCTATTACAACTAGTATATTTAGAAAATAATTTTTCATTTTAATGTTTAATCACAGATATCTAGTGGTTACCTAGAATGAACTGAGAAACAGGTAAAGTATTGCCATTAAAATAGTTTTAATTGACAGGTAGTGTATATAAAATGTTATTTTTTGTTTTTCCCCCCATCATATCATTCTAATTCTCCAAAAATTATTTTTGTCCAGTTTGGATTTCAAGCTCATTTGGTGAAAGTTCTCAATGAAAATGTGGAAATAATGACACCAGCAACAGCATCTGTTATCTGTTATAGGTTTAATAAAATATATTTCCCTACTTCCCTTAACATCCATTCCTATCTGTGGTAGGATAACATAATTTATAAATATTTTATACCTAGGAAATGTCTAAATCTTTCAACCATACTTTGGTCATTGTTTCTTTTATATTACTTAAAAAATATATTCCTGCCATATGATTGTTAAGTATTATTTTTAGGTTTAATAGCATTAATCGTTCAGTTTATATTTGTATTATTACCGGATCGTGTTGTGCTATTAATTGTTAATTGTAGAACCTATTTTTGTTACCCTATAGTAAATGATAATATTTTTACTTAAAAAATGTTCATAGAATTTTATATTACATTGGTGAAATGTATTAATGTTGCATACTTAAAATCGATTATGAATTTATGATTTCTTATAAATTTATATAAAAAACTATTAATTATACTCATTATCTTAGATTCCTTGTTTTAATTATGAAGTGTTTAAATATTGAAGAATATTTATTTTTTATCAAGGTTTATTGATTAGTATATAAGTATTAAGAATAATTGTAGCTAACGTAGTTAGAATAATGGACAGACCATTAAATGTAACAAGAAACTATTCAAGTGCTATATCAAAGTTTATTTTAATAAAAAATTAAGATAAATTGTTCCATTCCAGTGATTAAACTCCATGATTTATATTTTTGTTTTATTTCAAACTTGAAGAGCTGGAAGCTTATTTTCTTAAATTATTCACATGGATATATTATTTATTAAATAAAATATTTGTCAAATATATTTATTATAGTAATTAGTTTTGTAATTCCCTCATAATTTTCCTCTTAGTGTTGGTTATTTGAATTTATTAGTGTATGGATCAAGTGAGAGATTATTAAGTTCAACATGTTTTGAATTTATTTGATATAAATTACTTAAATTTATTGTATTTAATAATTGTTTTCTCCATAACTGCTGCCCAACATTTATATAAAACTTAGTTTTATATTAATATTTTTTAAATTGGATTTTGTACAAGTGTCTTAACTACTGAGATGCTGCTCCCTGCTTCATTATGCTCCATATTATTGCTTGAATTTTCATATGAATATCATCAGATGTTCATTATATGAGACTGCTTCATGTTATTCTAGAAAAGTGGGATGGTTAGGATCAAAGGTAAGAAATAATACACTGTAAAAAAAAATTCTTCCCAACGAAATTACATTTACGAGTATTAAAAAAATATTTTAAAATTATTATCTAACCTACTTCGAATAGTTGATTAAATGAAAGCTTATTCTCCAAAGATCCAGAACAACAGTGGAATCAAGACAAAGTTGGTTTGACCTTAGAATGGAAACAAACAGTGCAAAGCGATCCTGTCTTGGCATATTCATAACATGATTAGAACCTTACAGTGATAATATAATTAACTTCTTATTTTGATTCACTCCTGAAATAATTAGAATAATCAAAATCAGCAGCATTTTCCGTTTATAAAATTCCAATGTTATAATAAAAACTAATCTATTTTATTTAACCTTAATATTGTATTTCAATTATCGTAACTCTAGTTTTAAAGATGAATTAAAAAATCAAAATTAAATTGTTAAATATGCCTTGAAACAAGTATAATTTAAATATGCTATAGAAGCACATAATATTTAAAGGTTACTGCTGTATTCATAATTAAAGTATCCTAGATAATCAAATAAAAAGCTTTTTCTGTACTACTTCTAATTAGTTTATACTTTAACAAAAATATATTAACGCTACCCAATTTTTGTGGTGAACATAAATTGTAATTGTAGATTTAGTTCTTAATCTTTAAGTAATATTATAACAATTTACTAATTCACTTGAAATATTTAAGAACTATGTCACAAAGAAAGCTTTTCTGTAGTAAATAGATGGCAACAACTCAAATAATTACTGTGTCTCACAGGCAGATCTATGGGAGAGGGAGGAGCTTTCCAGTTGAAGCTCCCCCTCTCCCCAAAAAATGGTAAAATAAAACCATGTCTTAGAAAAAAATTAATAATTACCTCTAAAAGTTATATTGTTTCTGTAATTACAGTTAATAGTAATTAAAGAATCTATTTCATGTAGGTAGTTAGTTCATTTATTTTTCTTCCTAAGTAAATATTTTATATATTATTTATTTTTCTAAAACTATTGAGAAAATAAATAGCACTGTTTAAAATATACCATAAGCACCAATATTCAGAAATAAATTATTCATTTGGAAGGGAAAAATAAAAAAATAAATTCACTCACCTTGTAAGTAAATGACAACTGTAAATGGGTCAATGAAATTAATAAATTACTTTATTTGTGTTGAGTCTTGGCTATCTTCTCTTTTATCTTCAATATTACAGAAATTTGAAGCACTATTGTACTAATTGCATCAATGAGATAACATCCTATAAATCTTTCTGTATTTAATATTTATAGATCTATATAAATGGAATTTTGAAAAAGAAGAAAAGCATTTAAACAATTAAGAATTTTAAGTAAATATGATTTTTTAATGGACAAACTATTACTACTTTAGAAATATGTCTTTTTCTTGGTCTTCCCCAGAATTTTTATATCAAACCCAATTTTGGAAAATCTTAACTGTAATAAACAAAGCAGTAAAAAAAAAATCATTAACTAGAGTTATTTCTGAAATATCTAAGTTTGGCAGATAAGTAGATTTTCATAGTATTTTAAAAATATTTATGCATCAAAGTTAAAAGCACATCCACAACACCCCTTAGATACAAAACTATTTGTTGAAGACTCTGAAATGTAGTATTTTAGTACTTAATTTAGTATTGTAGTAAGTTAGTACTTAATAGCATATTTAAACAGTCTATTTATAAAACATAGGATATGGAGATGGATTTGAACAAAAGTAAACCCATCCCTAATCTCAAAATCCCTATCTAAAAGAAAATTAGACAGAATATAGATACATCAATGACAAGATATAACAAAGAGTATTCACTAATTTTCTCGAATTACTAGAGAAGTACAAAGATTATAATGTTATATATACTGATGCCTCCAAAATGAAAAATAGTTTTTGCCGCACTGTATGTATTAATGAAAACCAGCCCCAGCTCCTGTTTAGCTTACCTGGAGAGAGCTCCATATTTACTGGAGAACCTACCGCAATCATGAAGGCCCTCCATTGGATATCAAATTCCAATGACAAGAAATGGATGATAGCATCCTACTCCAAAAGGGTTATTGATAACCCATGGCCAATCAATTCCATAATAACAGATATATTGAATCTGGGTGGGGATTGAAAAAAAGGGCGATCAAAGTAGTATTTGTTTGGGTTCCATCTCATAGTGGTATCTTAGGCCATGACAGAGCAGACCAAGAAGCTAATTTAGCAAGGAAGGGAGAGCCACCAATCATAATTTCAATTAACTGTACCGCAGTAGAAGACTGGCTTCATCGGACAAAAAAGAAGTTATTTAAAATCGGGAAAACAAATGGAAAACTACACAGTCTAAACTATAAGAAATAAAAACAGAGTACAACAAATGGGATGCAAATACAAGAAAATCCAGAAGAGAGGAAGCCATATTGTGATAATTACGAATTGGCCACTGCCTGTTTACTCATGGGTACCTTCTTAGGAGACTAGAAGCACCCACATGCCAAAAGTGACAATAAACTGCAGTCGGTAAAACACCTATAAGTAGAGCGCCTTGAGTTAAAAAAATCCGACAAAAACTGAAATTCACAATAACAATGAAGAAAATATTAAGAGACAACGAAGACGTAGTCACCACTCTATTCCGATATTTATTAGAAACTCAATACTACAATATAGTATAAAAAACTTACCGGCAATGACCCTCTATCTAGGGTGGAGTTGATTACAAATTTAAAAAAAAAATTTCCTCACAATTTTATTCTGTGTTATTGTAATATGATATTAAATTATATTATAATATAACTGAAATTAATAATATAATTTTAAAGTTCTACTTTTTCCATTTTATATAAATAAAAATTAATTTCTATATTAAATAAAATAAATGGTGCCAAAGTAACTTTTATGTTTTAGAGTTTAAGGGTGTTTTAATATGTGAGTAGGGGACGGGGGGGCCGGTTTTATGAGGTTTTATTGATAACAACAAGCAAGTTGTCAACACTGGAACAGTGTGATGACCACGTGTAAGTAAACATTTAGAAATTGGACTTACTGGCAGTAAGTTACTGGTCTTTTGTTGTGGTATAATAAGTTTGTCATTCATTTCTATCTCATTCATTATTATTATATCGAAAAAAAATGAAAGAAGCTCCTAGGATGGATCATCATATCTCTGAGCACAATTTAGTGAGTTTATATGTATGAATGTAATACAATGATAACCTCCTATGTTTTCCTATGACCATGCTTTACAGTTGCCTACTAGGTTAAAAAATTAATTATTTTCATTGAAGATTTATAAGTGCTAAAGAAATTTATTAAAGTGATAAAATAAAACGTTTCAAAAATAAGTTTTTTGGTCTATTCATGGATTACTAAAATATTGGAATTAATCTAGCTATGGGGGAGGGAGAGGGATATAAAATTCTCAGTATTTAGGGTGGTGTTGAGCTCAACTATCACCCTGCAAGGCCCCTTTCAAACTTAAGATGCATGCGTCCTGGATGCAGGATGCATGTCCATCTTGCATCTTGATAAAAGAGCTTTCACACCAAGGCTGCACTTGCCTCTTGCATCTTCTATTAATGTCCCTTATCTCTGTTAGTTTAGTACGTCAGTTTGAAAGATAAATAATCAATCATTCGATTCTTCAGGCGTCGAAATTATAATTCTGACTTGTTCAATAAGAAGAAGACGAAGTCAAAGAAGAAATCGTTTATGGGAGCATCCATTCTGGAGATTATAGCCCTGCTATAATTATGCCCTGGTGTCTCAGCAATTACTTAACCAACCAGTAAAGTTTTAGGCGTACTATAAAATGGATATTTCTACTTTTAATATGTTGCTAGTTCTCGTGGAACCGTCACTGAATCTTCGAGATTCAAATTGTCGGTTGCGTGTATCTGCAAAAGAAAGATTACTCAAATTTCTGAGGTAAATAACTATATTTTCTCATGAATTGTATAACTCATTTTTTAAACATGTAAATATAGCTCAAAACTGAAAACATAACTTAGGTATATCTTGTGCAGCGTTGTTTATTAAAAGTATATCAATACAACATCTCGGTGAGAGGGGAGGGAGAGGATAAATGTTACCTTAAAATTGGAAAACTCCAACCTCACAGCTTTGTGTCTTTAAAATGCCGGTAAAGAATAAAATAAGCCGCCAACGATTTCTCAATTCAGGCATCATCAGGACAGAAAATAAAAGAAACCCTAGGTCACACCACTTCGTTACATTCACTCCTCATTTCAATAGAAAATTATTACCAACGATTTATTGCAACTTTAACATAAAACTTTAAATCTTCCATGGTGATATAACGAAAAATAGATACAAACATATGGAGAAATAGTTGAAAATCAGAGCAATTGAAAACAAAATGTATAGTTAAAAAAAATTATACAATAGATAAAAAAAGAAAACAATTGTTGAAAATAAAAAAGGAATTGATAGAGACGTCAATAACAAGAGCTTAAAGAAAATTGAGAAGGAAGAGGGTATTTCGAGTGTAGGCGGTTTAATCCGACCCTACTCAATGATTGCTCCTCAAAAATATTTTGCTTCGGACGGGCCGAGTATGCAAGACCAGACCAACTAAGATGCACGCTAAAAATCTCCAGCTGGCTA